ATCATCAAGGTGGAATTGACCTGGGGCTATCCATCATCACTGTCTTCCTTGTCCTCAACTTTGTCCGACTCCTTTTCCTTATCTTTGGGCTGTTTGCCCTGGAACTGCTGGATCAAGAGCCGACACTGTCGAGTGGTATGTTTCGGGTAAATGAGCTTACCCTCTTCATCTTTCTTGGTGTGGATGTGACATGGCAAATCCAACACATCATTTCCGTCTTGATCTTTAACTTTCTTCGGGTTCCAAGGCCCTTTGGGTTTCCGCTTAAACTTTCCTTCAGTTACAGCCAAGGCTTCCTCAGGAGCAGCTGGCTCGGCTTTCCGCTTCTGTTTCCGATTGGAATTTCCTCCTCCGGTTTATTGGGCGACTGACTTGTGCTTGCCGCTCCGGAGTCGATCCTCAGCAAAAGTCATCAAGGTGGAATTGACCTGGGAGTATCCATCATCACTCTCTTCCTTGTCCTCAACTTTGTCTGACTCACTTTCCTTATCTTTGGGCTGTTTGCCCTAGAACTGCTGGATCAAGAGCCGACACTGTCGAGTGGTATGTTTCGGGTAAATGAGCTTACCCTCTTCATCTTTCTTGGTGTGGATGTGACATGGCAAATCCAACACATCATTTCCGTCTTGATCTTTAACTTTCTTGGGGTTTCAAGGCCCTTTGGGTTTCCCCTTAAACTTTCCTTGAGTTACAGCCAAGGCTTCCCCAGGAGCAGCTGGCTCGGTTTTCCGCTTCTGTTTCCGATTGGAATTTCCTCCTCCTGTTTCTTGGGCGACTGACTTGTGCTTGCCACTCCAGAGTCGATCCTCATCTTCACCATTAGCGTACTTGGTGGCAATCTCCATCATCCGATTCAGAGACATATTTCCGGTTCGACCGAATTTCAGATTCAGTTCTCTGTACTTGACGCCTTCTTTGAAGGCACAGACTGCTTGGTGATCAGGCACATTCTCTACCGTGTGATGTAACGTGATCCATCTCTGGATGTAATCCCTCAAGGTTTCACTCGGCTTCTGCACGCAAGACCGCAGTTCCGTCAGTCCTGCCGGTCGCTTGCATGTTCCTTCAAATGTAGTGACAAACACTCGGGCGAGATCTTCCCAAGTGTAAATGTTGCTGGGTGATAACTGATTCAGCCATGCTCTGGCCGAGCCCTTCAACATGGGAGGCAGGTGCTTCATGGCCACTTCATCATTGCCATCGCCAATCTGGACAGCCACTCGGTAGTCTTCAAGCCAAGTATCGGGCTTGGACTCACCAGTGAACTTACTGACTCCAGTCGCCAACCTGAAGTTGGGAGGAATCACAGCGGCCCTGATGGCTCTACTAAAGCACTCTGGCCCTGAAACATGTACTCTGCTGCTGGTAGGTGCATCTCTATCGTGACCTTCTCAGTGAGCTCTGTTCCTGTCGTCCAAACCTTGAACGAGAATGGATCTCGCATCAAAGCCTGGTTCCCTGGGGTCGACTGGAATCCTTCGCCCAACACTATGAGGGCGCCTGTCATCCTGCTGTCGAGGCACATACGATCCACTCCTCGGGGGAGGGGTGGGCACTTGACGTCGATCGTCACGATCGAATCGGTGATCATACTGCTCACGGTTTCCGTACTGATCATGCCGGTCCCCACGTCCCTCACGCCTCGGGGGCGCTCTTGGGCTATGAGCCGACTGGACTGTGTCTGCAGCAATGGATCTGCTATGAATCCTGTTCCGCGACTGAGAAATAGTGGAATTCTGGTCTCCTGCTGCCCGGAGTGACGCTTTGATCTGCAGCAAGCCTCTGCCAGCCTCTGACTGGGAAGGCCGAATTGACTCTGCTATACGGGCTGCAGCTGCTAAATTCTGAATCGGAGTTCGATATACCTGCGGGGGCGGAAAGAGCTGACGTCGACTGGATTCTGGAACCCGTTGACGCCCACGCTCGTCGAGTGCTCGCTGGAGGTTCTCCAGTCGAGTGCGCTCAGCCAAGTTTGCCAGGCGCGCGTCCTCCAAGGCACGAGCCTTAGGGGTTTCTCCAACGATAGGAGTGTGCAGTGCATCCATGTTCTGGCGACGAAGTTCTTCTCTCTGCAGCGACGTGAGAGGCTCGGGGAGATATTCCTCATGGGGATGCGATGGGTCGCCTCCACCTGTGCCTCCGTCGGTGCAGGGAAAACCGGGAGCACTGCATGGTCCATCGACCATCAGAACCTTCGCCGCCGGATCACTGCTGTCGCACTCGGATGCGGTCTCTGCGGAGCCAGTCGAACAGGCCGTAGAGGAATTCGTCGGGCTCGATTGCCGCGACTTGAGGGGTGGCCGACTGGCGTGCCACCGCGTGTCTCACCCACCGCTGAAGTCTCGACCGACCGGAGCGCTTGCGCCGGCTGGAAACAGGGAGGGAGGACAACATAGGGGCCGACCGATAATGGGTCGACGGTTGCCGCAAGAGGATGCCGCGGACGCACGCGCGAAAGTGTGTTGCCCCACGGACAGGGAGTGCGTCCACGTCGAGCGGAGCCTCCTGAAGCCAAGCGGAGTCATCGGCGATGAACGTGAGCGCGCCGAGACGGATCTCGCGGCCCTCCACCAAAACTCCGCCAAAAACTATGATGATTTGGGTCGAAAAAGATCGCAACTCCTCCAACAAATCGCTACGAGTGGTGATGAGGTGACCAACCGATGGCGACACGCGGGGCGGCCGAGTGGTGATGAGGTGACCAACCGATGACGACGCGCGGGGCGGCCGAGTGGTTATGAGGTGACCAACGGATGGCGACGCGCGGGGCGGCCGAGTGGTTATGAGGTGACCAACCTATGGCGACGCGCGGGGCGACCGAGTGGTTATGAGGTGATCAATCGAGTGGCGACGCGCGGGGCGG